TCATTTTTATATTGTAAAAAACCGGAGAATTCTCCCTCCCATTAAAGAATCTAACGATAAGTAAAAGTGATTGTTAAACAAGACTTGCCTAGTTGAAAGGATATTTCTTGTAAGAGTGTGTTTATGAATTTTTACTTTTTTTTTATGGAGAATGGAGGTGTTATTAACAAATTTCTTTTAACAATTTTACAATTTTGAATGATTTCTAGAATGCATTTTATTTTTATTAAGAAGAAGCATCGGGCAAGTCTCAAACCAGCGTTATGTTTTAGTCTGTAACTTTAGAAATGATCCTCGTACAATAATAAGCTGTTGGTACCACGAGAACTTGGGTACCATCCACATGCATCATGCACCCCTCTTTAACGTACTTTCAGCTTGCTGACAGTCGCCTCGCTTCAAACTGAAGAAAGTATGTGAAAGTTTGACCCAGAACTTGGGCTCCTGGTCTTGAATATCTTTATATCAGACCGTCAAGGCCAGCTGCTATTAAATGCCTCCGTCTTATCTCCTCTCCATATCACATTTTTTTAGAAACAAATTATTCTTGTGCTGTCTTATTTTTATATTTTCTTTGTTTGTTTATCATGCAATGTTTCAGATTACATCTTTCTAGTGCACCCAACACCGTCAATAAACAATTCTTTAAGCTACTTATTTAATTAATATTTCACACAATATAATACTATACTAATAATGCTTTCTGGGATAAATAAAATTGCGTATAGTAATTTCTAATTGTACAGAACTTGTTAACGCATTTTGAAAAGTTTACGTCGAATTACACGGAATTTAACTGCTTTAACAGCCCGTAAACGACAGCTTATTAGAGCTACATAGATTCATCATACATGTCGGTAAAGGTCAAGGTTCAGTGTTTTTCGTTTTTCTTTTTTATGCTGTTGTCTGATAGTAATTAAATTGTTCATTCGAATCGCGTAGCTTTTCACTGTTGCAATTCAACGTTCAGGATTTCACTTATTACACAGCGAGCAAGGGAAGCAGATGATTACACAAATTTCAAAAGTAAAATTTCACTTTCTATCTCGTGGCAGTTTTGCTATGCCTACAAAATATACATTGACGTTTATTCAATTCAAATCACGGTGATAGTATGTAATTTAAATAAAATACAAATTTGCCGATCTCGTGTAGGGACTAGTCTATATTTTATGGGATCCTTGGATTTTTGATATGGTCAAAAAAAGTCCATATAGTGGAAAATAAATTAAACACTGTCACACTGACATACAATAGCAATTTAGACTTTCTAGTGGAACAAAAAGGAGAATGCAGAAACTAGGCTGAATTTCGAATAACAGTGATGCAATTAAGAACTGCAAACTGCTTATAATGGCGTTATTAAAATGATAAAATGGTTGTAAATTAGCTAAAGTGTGTCCCCGCATAATAACGCAACTGCAAATTTTAATTAGCGGCTACCATTGACATAACGTTTACAATTATGGCAAAGGAAATGTATGCCGACATCAACCGACCACAGTGTTACAAACGATTACAATTTCTTGATATCTGTAAATTTTTGTACATCTTAATCTATTATTTTTTTTTTTAATTCCTACAAAAGATAACGTATATCTATTTCTGTCTTCTTACTTTCTTATGCGGTTTCCAAAAGTTGAGAAGCTTGAAACATAATATTTTTGTATTAATCCAAGCAAATACTTTCACTGATGGCGCCAAATTAACACAATAAGTATTCACAGGATACGAAATACATAAGTGAAATCGTACAATGCTTACCAGTTTATATGCACACGTATGTTAATTTAAATACAAACGTTAAACGTGTATATAAAAGTAGTACTGACAGAAGTACCTAGTAAGTATAAAATATATTAAATGAATGATAAATAATGGACATCATCTCAATATTCAGCTAAAGCTTGCAAAAAGTTGAACCTGATGTTGAGTTCCAAGGAAGTTGAAGAACAAGAAAAAGTGAAGGTCGATGGTTTATGTATAAAATCGGCACGGGCCTTTCAAATTGCATAAGAAAGGATATGGGGTGTATTATAAGATGTACCATGAGGCCACGAAATTTCGCCTCCGGTATTAACGCAAGTAAAAGTGATTTCTTTTTGGAAAGCGTTCTTGCTCTTTAGGACCGATGACAAATATAAAACAAAAACGACGTTCAATTTTAAAATGAAAGCACATCTCTGGATAAAGAGATGTAAAGAAAAACTTTAATAAGTGAATTATTGTATATGGCGATTTGAAATTCAGTAGCAATTTCGAAAAGACAAGGCTATTACTTTTTTTAAATAAATCGTTGAAATAACGATATTGTGTCAACAAAAAATCGTAGAAAGCTGTAGAATATAAAACACGCTTGTTAACTAAAGAAATTTGTAAGGTCAATAACAGCACGAGTTTCTTCAATCCAATGCAACACGGAACCGTTTTACCAAAAATATATTTCTAAAAGTATCTATTTTGCAAGCGAACAAGTTCTTACTGTAGAAATACTGATATAGATACATGAAAGTTATGATTTAATTATTTTTCTATTAATTGAAAACAACGCATGCCTTACTTACTTGTCTTTTAATTATTTATCACACCGCTACCGTCAAGTTGATATCTACAATTTTCCCAAATTGACCATTTAATTTGTCGTTCAGCTCTATTTCGTATCAATGCAGCGGAACTAACGCATTAATTGCATATGTATGACTGGAATAAATAGAAAAAACTGTGACTTCAATACCAGAAAACATTAGGCACATGAAACTCTAATACGTATTACACAATTGAGTAAATCCTAAATAATTTCTAAACTGGTTACAACTGTCTTCAATCTCATCATCATAAGGTTGTCAGTCCTAAGACTAAGACTGGTTGGACACGTACCTTCACTCTTTCCTATCCTGAGCTAATCTTCGTATTTCTTTAAAACTAGAACATCCCTTTAACTATTTGCGAAGAGTAATCTAATCTAGGTCTACCTCTACTTAGTGTTGCCCAAACGCAAGAACAAGACGAGACTTAGCCAGTCTTGGTCTTGGTCTTGCGCCAATACACCTGGTCTTGGTCTTGGTCTTGGTCTTGCGCTCCCAGTCTTGGTCTTGGTCTTGGTCTTGCAGCAAGAGTCTTGCAAGTCTTGCAATTACCTATTAGTCTATTACTATTTATTAAAGTTTACTTTAAATCCTAGAAAAACGTATTAGAATTGGAACATTGTGAGCTTGAATGAATATAGCCATAGTAAAGATCAAGCAGATTAATAAATAACTGAAGATTTGATAAGAAATTCGAAAAATCAACTGACCTATATGTCGTTTTCCATGGAAGTAACTGTTTCTTAATAAACATTTATGATCNCAACCTGGAATCTATCACAGGGTTGCACACACCGTCGACTGGATCGCAAGGGCGATTGCGGCGTGATTTTTGATCACTCTTTATCCAAAGATTATTACGTAACTTAAAAATTAAATAGTATCTAAGACCCCCATACGCGAATTGAAAAAAAAAAGACACAACAGGTTCAGTAAAAGTGAACTATTACATAGATACAAATTGATCATCTTCTTCTAATAAAACTTATAGAAGAAGAAGATTAATTGCTAACATCCTCGTTCTATTATTTTTTTGTATTCTCAAGGGCTAACAGTACCTACCCTTGATTTAAAGTCATGGATTATAGTTGAATTTTGACGTAAAAACGTAACAACTGCTTTAAAAGGATTCTTGTCTGTGTTACGTTTCAGTAAAATTCTTCATTTTGTACATATCTTGTAGACGAAATCAAGATCAAAAAATTTAACCAATATTTATTTATTTAACTTTGCTTTTCTAAATCTACAAATATTTTCGCTGCTATATCTAATTAAGATGTAAATAAAGCTTGTAAATATAGATTCACTTTCATTGTAAATGTTTTTGCATTTTTTTAGAAAAATATGACAAACTTATAAATAAAAAAACAATTTGTTATTTTTTCTTGCTAAAAATACGCGGTCTTGTTCTTGGTCTTAGTCTTGCAAAAACGCAAGAACAAGACCAAGACTGAATTTGGGCAACACTACCTCTACTCCTCCTAACTCCCGTTATGTCTCTGACTATAGACCTTCATGCCTGATAAGGTGTTCTATTAACCTATCTCCCCTATTTGTTATTGACTTCTTTCTAATACCACTTCATATCTAACCTTCTCTATCCACGGAATCCTCATCATTCGCCTGTAACACCACATTTTGAACGCTTAATCAAACGTTATTGCCTTTCTTCATAATGATTTTGAACATTTAATAACATCGTTTCTACAATAAAGCACTCTTCAAGGTGCAAACAACGATCTGTAAAAATATAAAAAATTATGACCACACTTCTGACGCTCGCGCAACTCCTAGTTTTTTTTTTTTTATTTTATTTTGTCGTTAAAATAACAATTTGCCATTCGATAATTTGGTACCTAATAGTCAGCCTCCAATGACAAATTAAAATTTTCCTAAGCACAAAAAAGCTGCACTTTCACTTATAAACGACAAAGCTTGCGGCTATCCCTTTCTATACAAACAGTAAAAAGAAGTCCTCTCGGAGATTATAAAATTCATACTCATATGCTTATAGATGTTCGTGCATGTTTATTATTATGTATGTTTACTAACGATACTTTCTTCTGTTGATTTCTGAAGTAATAGTAAAGAAAGGGAAAGGATGCGAAACGTTACAACGAGGATCCTGCAAATTTCTCTAACAAAATAATAAAATTGCATGTATATATTTGAATATTTTATGTGATCTTTAGGTACCGGATGAAGATTGTCAAACCGGAGTTTGATTACGATTGTAATAAACAAAAGCGAAACCGGTAATATTCCTAGAATATGTTTTTTGATAAATCTTCGACTGATTTTTCGGTCCGTAGTGTCTACTGGTAGCTCTTCTTGTCAGTGAAAGTGGTAAGCATGTGAAAGTTTGTCTCTTACGCGCGGTCTTCAAACTTCTTCAGTCGGCCTCTGACTATCAAGGCTGGATGTGTTTTGTTATTGTTAATATATAGTGTAGTGGTCCTTCAGTTCTTCGCCAGTGCAAATTTTCTCTGCTTATAACTCTGTAATAATGTTCAGAAGGAGGAAGGAGAAACGGTCCTTGAAATAGAACAGTTCTAACAAGTGCTTATGAATAAATAGATAGAATATGGCCAAGTTTTTGGTGTAAGATTAAATGGAAAACAATCACAATGAGGGTAATTCATTCTGGTATCCTAGCAGTTATTTTAAGCATATTCTTAATTCAAGCCGCCGATCCTCCGTACGAAAAAAGCACAGGATCGTTCTTATCACACCAATTTGACCAACTCATTTCGGCCACCAAATTACCACTTTTTAATATCAACTCTCCATTAAACGATGACGTTTCAAAAAGGACCCGTCTTCAGCATTTGCCTGAAACTAGTTCTTTAAACGAAAATACCGAAGCTCCCAGAATAAATTCTACCACTACCCCTATATCTTTGATAATGAAAGACAATAACGCCGAAGATGTGGAGAATCAGAAAGAATTTCTGGAGCCACTTCTCAGACTTTACGAAAACGATCTTCACAACAATTTAGACAGTTTAAATATAACCGAAAGAATATCTAAAGAGGACGAAAAAGTCGAAGAACTGAAATATTTAACTAAAGAGGAACTTGACTTTTTAATGAATCCTTACAACACGAACGATCCTTTGTACAACAGGAACAAACCATATAACGAAGAAGTGACTAATAACGTGGCAAGAAGAGTCGATGATGGTACTTTACCGTCATCAATTTCTCCAGACAAAGAACATATAGGAGAAATTCTACCTAGTAATTTCAACAACTTCCCATCCCCTTCTCAAAGATCATTAAAAAATGTCTTATCTTTTCACCCAGTAAGACGTACAATCCCAATAATCGTAAGGAGACGAATGTACATCACGAAACCCTACCATTCGAACAGGATACTCAAGAAATCATTCGACTCTCAACATTACTACAGGCCGTTCAGTTTTCCATACGAAGATCCGTCCAAGTTTCGAAGGCCTATGAAATTTCTGGAAGATGTGGCCAACGTAAGGTCTGAATACGACTATTCATTTATCCCAACTGCAGGATTTACCGATGACGCTCCTCATAAAACATCAAACAGTAAACCCGACATCGTTCCCGATGGAACACGAACTGGATATGCAAGGCCTTCCGCTGTATCGGTAATACAGAACAGGTACAGGAATGTGAGAACACAAAAAGGACTAATCGTAAGAGATCCTGCTACTGATAGCAGCAATTGGCAAGGCAACAGTTGGAAAGTAAGTCGACGACCTAGAGTTATATTTCCATCGGATTTGGTAGCTTTTAAGGAAACCAATCAAGAGGAACCGGACTGGTTAGGTGCAGACGCTAACCTACAAGACATCCAACAAAACGATATCAAAGACAGAGGTACGTTGGACGTTCCATTCGTGGTGCAAGACGTGCTATGCTTTTTTAGAAGGGTTGTTAAGTAGAAATTACGAAATTTTTACATGCACTCTAACATCTCGGTGAAAGTTTTCATGACAAAATTAACATACAAACAATCTATTTCGAAACAATGGTAACGTGTTACACATGAATTCACTGACAACTGTACGAGGTACAATAGTACAAACAGTTTAAAGTAATTTAATTCATTAGATGTTCCATTGACACAAAGCATATGTAATTTGTACTTAACCATCGGTGGTATTCGTAAAAAGTATTTAATGATTAATGACAATAATTACAAGCTTAAATTAAATGTAAGTATTAATACAAACGCAACAAATATTGGTTCATTAAACTTTTTATATTTACCGTTCATTATGACCATTGTCTAGTGTTTATGAACTTGAGCTACCAAGTAGATCGTAAAACAAGAGTAATAATTTAATACATAGTTAACAATTGTTGCGCTTTAATCTCTTTAACGCGTTTGAGTCTACGCACCATGAAAAAATAAGACGTATTTATTAAAAAAGTAGCCAGTCAGGAGTGCAATAATATCTAAAAATAAACAAATTTATAATTCCTAGATAAGTGAAGCAAGTTTATAACTGTACAGTTCGAGATTAAACCGAACAAGATCGATTTTTACTGGATCTGAAGCCGATTAAAATTGATTTCAAAACTATTGTACATAAAACTTAATGCTAGGTCAAGCGAGTAACCCGATTCGATCTGAGAAAGATATAACACTACTACACACATGTAACCAACTACACAAAAATGGTTTAAACAAAAGAATAGTATTATCAATTAATGGTATAATATGAAAATAAACAAATGTATTTAAATAATTGAATATTATACAGGTATATATAGTATGTATGACAGCTTTTAGCACGGGAATGGCCGCAAAAAATACCACGTCGTATACATTTTTTTAATGATCTGCTTTGTTATAAACATTGTTGCACTTAAATCAAATACGTAATTAAATACATTATGTTAGAAAGTTCATTCATTTTTCGTATCGTACAATATCTTCTTCGGGAGAAAGTTGGAGCTCTTAAAGCGTTTTCATTTTTATCAAGCATACTATTACACGATAGAATTCGTAAATAATTAATTCAATTTTACATATTATAAAATAGCCAACAATACTTTTGTGCTGTGTATATTACTTACAAAAAACGTTGATATTCGTTATCCTTTTTTTTTTCTTATGATATCAGTCAGTACCTTAAGATAAATAAAAAAAAACTAACTGTTGCTTTTACATGTGGAAAGACACTGATGCTGTTCTAATTCAGGTCTAAAGGTCTTCATTTCTCAGAGTTGCATCCTAACGTTTCGCTAGCACTAGTATCAAACTTCTTCCATCTTCGATGCTGGATGTGAACATTCCATTTGCAGCTCTGAAGATGGAATGACCTTTGAAGAAGTTCACCATTCGTTCTAGCGAAACGTTAGAAAGCAACTTTAACTGACAACGGTCTTTAGACCCGAATCAGGACAAGTTTTTCTTCAAAATTATCAATTTTGTTAACCACGTAGGTTCTGAAGATGATTGTACAGAGGACGCAACGTGTGAATTTTTTTTAACGTGCTGGATGAGTGGCGGCCTGCTAGATGGTACCTGCGGTTTACTTAGGGGATGCTGTCAAAGGGACAATTCCAAATCGGGGCGAAGTACCAGCCAAATGGTCGGTACCATCGAAGCTCCACGGGAAACTGCAAAGGCGCAAGCGGCACTTTTTGATCTTGATACGCGTAAGTCAAAAAACAAAAACACAATGGTAATGAGTTTGATGGTACCGATCCAACGGCACATTTTATAACCAACTATCTCTAGTAGGGGTAACGGAAAAATAATAAGGGACTTAGTGGCTACTTTTCCTGTTATTTATGTAGACAGTGGTGGCGTTGCTTTTTGGATGTGTACAAGAAACTATAGGGTTGTAAAGGCATAAGACTGACTTTTGGAAGTATACGGTAGTGGTAAATAATAGTAGAAATATTATAAAAATTAAAATTACACAGGGTCGGGCTTAGGAGATATGGCTGAAGAGGTGTGTCATGATAATTTCTACCTTTACACGGGCAGCACCTTTTTTACATTAAAACTAACTTAATAAGAGCAAATAATTGTTTCGAAAACATTAATTTTAGTTTTCTAGACATTCTAGAATTATTATCTGCAATTATATGTTCCATTTCACTTTAACGAACCTACATAGTATATTAATTAATGCAAGTTGTCGACTAATAAACATTAATTACTGTTATTTCGTCCCACTACCCTACAGAGAATTTAATTCGCAATAATTGGTTGCTACTAACTTTAACCATTTTATGTTTCAAAGACAATAACAACAACACTTCATAAAGGTCTGTAATATACGTCTAAGTGTGTTTGGGTTAATATTCGAAATTTTACGTAATTTAAGCTTTTTTTTTTTCGTCGGTTATGATTCATCCTTGAGGTAATTCCGTTAGTTTCATAAAAGGAGTTGCCCCAGAAAGCCGAACACATGTTTAATAATAAATATTTACTTTCTTTAATCCCCATCGGTCTTTTGATTAAGTAATCGTACCAACCGCATGGTTTGATACTTTCACCACTTCAAAATTCCATCTGAGCGCAAGTACGTATCTACCTATACATAATAAGCATATGAGGTACCGTTCGATAAAAAATATATACAAGCTTACATATACACTTTTTAATTCACCGAATCTCAACATCGTCATAAGGTCGTCAGTCCTAAGACTGGTTGGACACGGATCTCTGCTTTTTCCCTACTATCCTGAGCTATTCTTCGCATTTCCCTAAAACTAGAAAGCTAGAACATCTCACATCCTTAACTATTTATATAAACAGTCTAATCCAGGTATACCTCTCCTCCTTTTAGCTCCTGTATCTCTAACTAGCCCTTCACACCTATCTCACTTATTCCTTTAGTTCTCCTACTCTTTCTAATTCTAATAGTTGTCCAAGGATTAAAGGATTACATAAAGTGTGAATGTTTGTATGTCATATCTCATTTTCTATAAAAAAAAAACCAAATGTATTTTCAGAGTGTGGAATACCTAGTCGTCAGCAGGCACAAAGAAGGATAGTTGGAGGAGACGAACCAGGATTTGGTTCCTTCCCTTGGCAAGCCTACATAAGAATAGGCTCTTCAAGGTAGAGTTTATAGAAAAATTAAAAAGCACTTTCAAGAAAAACGTTCACCGAACATAGAAATTGTACATTTGTTTATCGGCATTTTTCTTTTCATGCCTGAATGTGTCTCCTGCTCCTCTGGAAACCGCCCTAAACTAACCCGACTCCCAAATCTTTTCGACAATACGTAACACCAAAATAACATTTTTATTGGTATAAAATCCAATGATGTTTTTTAGATGTGGCGGGTCATTGGTTAGTAGAAGACACGTAGTCACTGCTGGTCATTGCGTTGCGCGAGCAATTCCCAAACAAGTTCACGTGACCCTTGGAGATTACGTGATAAATTCTGCGGCAGAACCGTTGCCAGCATATACTTTTGGAGTCAGTTCGATACAGGTCAGACAATAACAATAACCTTTTGCAATAAATTAACAGATAATTGTCCAGACAGAGTTGTGAACGATGATTATGTTTAGGTGCATCCTTTCTTTAAATTTACACCTCAAGCAGATCGTTTCGACGTGGCTGTTTTACGACTGGACAGAACGGCCAATCATCTTCCCCACATAGCCCCGATATGTCTCCCCACAAAAGGGGAGAACTTTTTGGGAGAAGTGGGAGTGGCGGCCGGGTGGGGAGCTCTTTCGCCAGGGTCGAGGCTACGTCCGCAGACCTTACAAGCCGTTCCCGTTCCCGTCATCGACAATAGACAGTGCGAACGGTGGCATAGATCGAAAGGGATCGGGGTGACAATTTACGATGAGATGATGTGCGCAGGTTATAAAAATGGGGGTAGAGACAGTTGTCAGGGTGACTCGGGGGGGCCGCTCATGTTACAAAAACAGGGAAGGTGGTTCTTGATAGGTATTGTGTCGGCAGGATACTCCTGTGCCCAACCCGGACAACCTGGAATCTATCACAGGGTTGCACACACCGTCGACTGGATCGCAAGGGCGATTGCGGCGTGATTTTTGATCACTCTTTATCCAAAGATTATTACGTAACTTAAAAATTAAATAGTATCTAAGACCCCCATACGCGAATTGAAAAAAAAAAGACACAACAGGTTCAGTAAAAGTGAACTATTACATAGATACAAATTGATCATCTTCTTCTAATAAAACTTATAGAAGAAGAAGATTAATTGCTAACATCCTCGTTCTATTATTTTTTTGTATTCTCAAGGGCTAACAGTACCTACCCTTGATTTAAAGTCATGGATTATAGTTGAATTTTGACGTAAAAACGTAACAACTGCTTTAAAAGGATTCTTGTCTGTGTTACGTTTCAGTAAAATTCTTCATTTTGTACATATCTTGTAGACGAAATCAAGATCAAAAAATTTAACCAATATTTATTTATTTAACTTTGCTTTTCTAAATCTACAAATATTTTCGCTGCTATATCTAATTAAGATGTAAATAAAGCTTGTAAATATAGATTCACTTTCATTGTAAATGTTTTTGCATTTTTTTAGAAAAATATGACAAACTTATAAATAAAAAAACAATTTGTTATTTTTATTTCCTGTTTCGCAAAATATGAGTTAACTCACTATTGCATTAGTCGAATGGTTCGTCTTCACTTTCTAGTGAGTCATTGCCCAGCACTGATGTGATTTCCTTAAAGTAATCAAATAAATTGATGAAAACTAACAATAAGCAAGTGAAATAAGGATTTTACCTCTGTATTAACCAGTTTTTCCATTAACGGTCGCCTAAAGAATTTTAACTGAAAAGCATTAATGCAGATAATAATTTGTTTTTTAAATATTATGTAATCTTACTTTGTGCAGCAAGAAAATTATTCCTGAAAGGATAATAACGCCAATTAAAACACCCACAATGTAAATCATATAGGAAACTTCTGTACTTGAAGAGTAACCCATCAAAATCGTTGTGGTTCCATTACTATAACTATAAAAATATTGTTTAATTATATTTATTCAAAATGCTTTTAAAAACACGTACCGTTGTTGATTGAACCTTGTGCTCACAGCAGTTTGGTAAAAAATCATCTTTCTAATTTCCGATTGTTTTTCTACAATAAAAGCAGTTGAAATTCGTAAATAAACATTTTGGATGAAAATTACTTATCGTATCTAAGGAAACTTCTAATGAGAAGTCTAGGCGTACAATTTGATCCTTTTTAACTTCCTGATTAACATGACAAATTAACGTTTTGCAGGTAATTAGTTCTCCTTTTGAACAATTGATGAACAATACTTGATCAAGTGAAAAGTCTTTCTTATTAAAATCAGCAGTATTTTGAAAATAAGATTTAACTGGTTCTAACAATTCGTTTGACTTAGTATCATCATCGTCCTTTAAAGGATTATCCTGACTGAACTGGTCACATTCAACTTGAACCCCGTCAATTGCACTCTAGCAAAGAACAGAAAATAAATTCGAAAAGTTACAATTCAACTAATTGCATCTTACTTGTAGTGAGTATTTCAAGACAAACTCTTCTGTCTTGATTTTAATAGGAAAGTTGACCAGGAAGTCTAATCTCGGTAAAGGACTGGGACCCAAATTCACAAACGTATATTTATGCGAAAACTTAATCATGTCCTTATACATCAGTTGGTCAGGATGTGATTCCCTAAAGTTTTAATTAAATCGATTTAAGGTCAATATCGTACAAGTAGTTGGTTATTATCTACTTACCCATTAATTTGAACAAAACTTTCTACTTTTAAGGGTAAATCCAAATTTATCTTGTTATTATCTTCGTTTGTATCATTACCACTACTTTTTACTTCTAAATAAAAGCTTAGATTTTTCTGTGGAAAATACGTTAATCTCGTCAAATCGAATTCAAAGTCAATTTCAATCTAAAAAGATTAAGACTTATCAATGATACGCTGTTCAATGTGTGCATGTCTGTAAGTATACCGTATTATTTTTGAATAGAACGTTTTTCAAAAAACAGCGAAGTTCGCTTTCAATTTGAGTGCATTTGTTTGCAATCCTTCGCATTTCTATGTTGTCGGGTATTTTCAGAATTAGCTCACACAAGTAAGCTGGCTCTTCAGAGTTCGTAACTGTTACTTTCATATTTAGAAATGAATTTTTACCTATGACCAAGTAATTTCTTAAAGAGAGAAAAAAAAATAAACAGAAAAGATCCAAAAACATAGAAGTATAACTACGCACAAGTTTGGATCAAAGCTTGCCGAAACGCCAAGGTCTGGAAAACATACAGTAGCATTTTTGCAACCACTTGCAAAAGGGAGTTCAATATACATCGAATTGCCTGCACCCTGATCTGTTATCGGACATGTTTTACAAAAATCTGGTAGTGAAAAATACAGAAAACAAAATAACTCATCACAATATTCATCAAATGTCAAAAAAAAGTTTACCTGAACCTGATTGATCCTTTACTTCATAATTTACTTTAAAACGTACTGGTGTCGCGAAACTATTTATGGTATTATTCTACAATAGCAAACATATTATTGTAAATTTACACATATATACAAGGACGGGCTGAAAAGTTCGTAGGCTGATCCATATATGGCTCTACTAGTATCAAATCCATATGATTTTTAGTTAGCCCTAACTAAAGACACGTGTATAAATTTGACAGCCGTTGCACTATTAGTATCTGAGTTATAGCATTTTTAATGAAACAACTTTTGTTGTTTGAAAAAGAAAGTGCTGTTCCATCAAGACAATGCACCGTGTCACAAATCAATGAAATCGATGGCAAAATTCCATGAATTGGGCTTCGAATTGCTTCCGCATCCACCGTATTGTCCAGATCTGGCCCCCAGTGACTTTTTTCTGTTCTCTTACCTCAAGAGAATGCTCGCTGGACAGAAATTTCGTGCCGATAAAGAAGTAATCGCCAAAACTGAAGCGTATTTTGAGACTAAAGACAAGTCGTATTATAAAAATGATATCGAAAAATTGTATGACCGCTATAATAGTTGTATTGACTTTGAAAGGTACTATATTAAATAATAAAATCAAAAAAAAATTTTTTTGTATGCTAGTCTACGAAGTTTTCAGCCCGTCTGTTACATATATAAGTTCGTAACGATTTGAATGTATGTACATACATACCGTTAAAGTTAAGCTTAGGTTCTGGCAATAAAAATTGTTTAATTTTATCGTTACTGTGTGGGTTTTATTCGTCATTAAAATTCGAGGATCAGGATAATAATATAAAACCGTTTCGACGCTTTTAACGATGCCACTTGAACCATCGTAAGTTAAACAAAAGGTTAAATTGAATTGAATATTTTGGGCAACTCCTAATTCTGCAACATCGGGCAACAAATATCCAAAATATTTAATAACAGGTTTCGTTTTGATCACAACTACTTTTCCAGATTTGAAATCACCAATAGCTAAATCTGATTGTGAAATATTGGATTAAATATTGTTGTATAAAATTTGTTCAAGTTTGCATTTGTACATACCATTAAATGTATTCTGATCAATATCTAACCCGCTGGATAAACTGAGTCCCAATGCGAGTATGTTATGGTCAATAGAGCTTCCTCTAATTTTTTGACTGTATTTATTTGAGAGACCAAAATGTCGTCCCATAAAGATGTATACCGCACCGCCTTCTTTGGATTCGTAAGGTGCCGATATGGCAATATCTGCAATATTATAATAACAATAGATAAATACAGTTTTACAATAAATCTCGCATAGGTACCAGTGTATGAGTCGTGGTTTATGTCACCCAGGTTAGCGATAGCGTGTCCAAATCTAGATCCTGGTATAACATCACCAAAAATTTTTATAGGGTCACCAAATTGAGCCTAAAGGCAAAACTGTTACAAAATTGTAACGACGAAATGGTCATTTTATGTAAAGCTTACTTGGCCGTCGTTTTTATAATAATAAACACAACCCTCGTCGTAACCCTTTAACGAAAACATCGGAGACCCGACCAGTAAATCGGATACGTTTGTGTTATTATTATTTTTGAAAGACGCTAACGAAAAACCAAAATAAGCTCCCATTTGTTCTCCAACAAACTCGTTATGGACAATTATAGATTGTTCGTTAGTATTAGGATAGGAAAACATGAATACCTTAAATAACTCTTACAAATCGATCATGATTATCGTAAAAAATAGAACGGTATCACCTTTCCTTTCAAAAAAAATGCCCTTGGGGCAGCTGCAACATACCAAAAACCCTTGCTTTCATCAAAAACACCATACGAAGATGAATAACCTTAGGAAAGACAAAATGCAATGAAAATAGCTTCTCATTGTGTACTTACCTAGGTACGAATCATATTCTACTAATTTTGCACTAAAATAGTAAGGATTTGGTATGGAAACCCTTTCAATTTGATTGGCCAGCTCTGAATATGGTTGAAAGGGTTCCTTTAGTTGATATCTTATCAATGTTCCTGCAATAAAAAATGCTTTCATTGGTGAATTAGCAAAACATAAATAATCATCATCCCATGCAGGAAATACTGGAGTTAACGACAGGCCCAAGCTTGGACCAGTAAGGAAACCAAGCATTGGCTTACCGATACTGGATCAATCTTCCATAAATCTTTTCGTGTCAAGGTTCAATGCATAAACACTTCGTTAAGTTTGGTCTAGCATTTTCTGGGCAACCAAATATGGATTTATCAATACTAGACCAATGTTTGGCCAATATTCAAGTGCCAAGGTTCAGTAGATTAACGTTTGGCCAAGCTATGTCCAATACTGGCCAACAAAGTATTGGTCAATCGATTGTGTACTATGACCAATCTGCCCCTCAATATGTTCAAGCTTCTCAATTTAGAAAACTTGGATTAAACCAAAATTGAGTGCTTCTCATTCACCTACGAAATCTCTTGCTTGACAGGGATATGCGGATCCTATGGGACTGGTTGACCCTTCCACTGCGTGATTCGTGTGTCGCGAGCATCCCCTAACGTTCCTACTACTCCTATGTGTACAAAACCAAACCAAGAGATGTGAAGTTTTTACTCTGTTTGTCTACCTAAGCTGAGAATAACTTATCCTTCTCGTAATCTCGTCTGCGAAGATTCGCACTCTCAAAATCAATAATTTTGCAAGAAATTAACATCATATAACGTCAAATTGCCAAGTTTGGTCGTGTCGTAATTTCCTACATGGGATATCGCTCAGATATACTCACCCTTTGATGTGAGAACGCCAGGTGCTCCAATCAATATTTCTGAATATTCCTACAAATTAAAGTTAGATTATCAGCTAGCTAAGGTTATTAAAAAATTATACTTTAAAGAAAATTATTACCTACATTTAGAAGTTTCAGGAACTTTATTGAGAATAACTCTACGTATGTTTGGGTTGAAATATTACGCACTAATAAGGGAGGAAAGTACGCCGTTCCCTCCCGGGTATGAATTACGGAGGATTGTAAAATCCCTTCGTAATAAGGAGTAAATTCGAGTTTTTACTCGGGAGAGAATGTTGCGAACTTTCTGTGGTGATAAGTTGAAAAGTAATTTTCTTTAAAGCATAAACACTAAAAATATTTCATAATAATATCACCAAGTTTCCATTTCTGTTAATCAGTTTATTTATACAAAAAATTTGAACCTGCACAAAATGAAGCGACATTCCGGCCTCTCCGTTACCATATAAATATTTATTATCAAAAAATTGAGATTGTTCGTCCAAAAGTGGGATAAAGATTTCTCCATTTTTTGATGTCAGTGAAGAATTATTCAAGATAAAGCAAGCACCATTAGCTAAGTAGCCATTTTTTAGCTTCCTTCTCAGTCTTGGTGCGCACACCTGATTAAAATTACAATTTCAAAATTACAATGCAAACTTTCTAAGAGCATTGTCAAAATGCAATAGCTATTTAGTTATTTCTTTTCACGAAAATGCTTACTACTATTGGGTCGCCAACACTTTGCCCTCCATCGATTGCAGCCCCTAGTAACTCGTAGTTCGTTTCAGCAGCGAAATTAAATTTAGGAGGAACTATTGAAAGAAGAAGAATAAATAGGTGAAATAATTCAAAAAAGCTAAATATTTGTTCTTACTCTCATGGTCCACACCGTATTCTGAACATAGTTTGGAACCATTCAAAACACATTTATACAGAACCCCTGAACTAACACCATCGGAGTTAGGCTCAAATGTGGAATTTCCTTTGACTGCACTAGCAATTAGTCTTAGAAAAAAGATTCAAAAACAATACTGTAATCCCGTATACGTTCTATATTTAGTAAAATATTGCTTACACGGACGTGGTTCCTTGTTGTAAAAGCACTGAAAATCCAAAGTAGTCATCTTTGTAGTTGGATAAAATAATTTCGGGAAATTTAGTGTCAAAATTGTAACTTTCGCCGAACAAAATTACAGCAATAAAAACAACAGCAGATGCTACCACCAACATTCTTGAAAAATAGCGTCGAATATATGCACATAACGAATTCGTCATACAAAAAACATTAGCTGTTTGTTTCTGCTCATGGTTGATATCAGAGGATGCAGGACATTAATCCCTCGCAATTTTGCTACACACATCACCGTGTTTATCTTACTGAACGACAATGTGGATATGAAAGATAAAAGGCGACATTCTGTCTGAAAACATTTATGTTCGAGTACACACAAAGATATTAGCATATAGCAGGGAAGAGTTAGAGATAGCTTTAAATAAAACAGAAGCGGTATTGAGGAAACAGTACTGTATGAAAATAAATAAAAGTAAAACTAAAATATTGATATGCAAGGGAAGAAAAAGTAGGGAAAGAGCGAATATTAAAATAGGAGACTAATGATTAGAAGAAGTGACTGATTATCTAGGTATTTATGAAGTCAGATAAGTCAGGGCGGAAGGAGTAGTAGGGATATAAAGCAGAGGATAGCGCAGGGTCGTGTCGCCTTTAATAAAAAGAAGTCACTTCTACGCTCGCAAACGGTTAATTTAGAAATTCAATAAAGATTGTTAAAAGTGTATGTTTGACGCACGGCGCTGTACGGATGCGAAACATGGACATGGACGCGGCAGAAAAGAAAAGAAAAGGTTAGAAGCGTTCGAAATGTGTTACGTTGGAATGATTCCGTAGATACAGAAGGTTAGAAATGAAGAGGTGTTAGAAAGAATAGTAGAACAGAGGATTCTATGGAAGGCATGAAGGTTTAGTCAGAGACATAGTAGAGGCAGAAATGGAAGTTAGGAGGGGTAAAGGTAGACCTAGATTAGATTACTGTTCGCAAATAGTTAAGGATATGGGTTGCTCTAGTTTTTGGGAAATGCGAAGATTAGCTCAGGATAGGAAAGAGTGGAGTTGCGTGTCCAACCAGTTTTAGGACTGACGACCTTATGATGATGACATACAGATATGCGACAGTAAATAACGAATAGAACTCATGTTTAGTAAGTACAGTAAGTAGTGATAGTTGTGGTTACACGCAGCTCGACTCGTTCCTATTTTGAGTCAAACTTCGCATCATCCCACATCTCTAAATATTTGCAGGCAGACCTTCGTCTGTCTCTCTATACTCCTGTTGCTGCTTCTAATAAGTCTCTAACAAGTCCTTCCTATCTCAGAGACTGTCCTAGTGTTCTATCTCTCTTTTCCCTTGCTGACTTGAATAGTTCCTTCTTTCAAATATCTCTCAACCGTGCTCGATCATTTGTTTTATATTTCTACGATTTTTTTATCCTGTTATGGGAATTGAAACGATCAACATGACAATTCTACATAAATGTATGGCCGGTATTATTATAATATCACGCACGCCTTTTGTAATATTTGATACATTATTGCAGAGCCGGGCAAACTTTAACTTCGCAGGAGCCGCTACATGAGGTTAGTTTGAGTCACTCCATACCCTTCAATGAGTACGAGAGAGTAAGCAGTAATGAATAATTTTGTTTTGTCTTTTTCTTCTCCCTTCCACTCCCATATCAAGCCCCTTCATCCCGTAGACGAGCGAAGCCACTCTCGCAACGGTTTGGCTATGGAAGAGGGGACTCATCTACGAAATGGAAGGGATAAGAAAAGGAAAGAATCATCTCACTCGCACTCGCAGGATCAATGAGGAGCTACTTGGTTAACCTTGAGGAGCACTCGGGAGTCAAAAGAGCCGAGTTTGCCCTCGCAGGATCAATGAGGAGCTACTTGGTTAACCTTGAGGATCACTCGGGATGCAAAAGATCCGAGTTTGCCCGGCTCTGCATTATTGCTTGAGAAGCACGATCGCGCTTCGTGCTACTTGTCGCATGAAGAGAAGTTCGATAAAACGCTAAAGTGTGCAGGATGCTTTATTAATATCATGTTCAGATAAAAACACACTTTTCCTTTATCATCGACGTTTATTTTATCAACCTTGCTATTTCAAAATAAACAAATAGAGAAGATCGAAAAATAATAATAACATGGAATATTTATTTTATGTCTTGTTGTCTGTTTTAAATTTCTATTTCTGGTATATCAGGAAAAATATTTTCAATAGACGTAATATTATCATTAACGACATCTATTTTCTTCTTGATGGTCTCCGTGGTGACTTTAACTTCGGCATCACTGTCCTCGTCGTCCTCCAAACCGTCTAATTTTTCGGGAATAATAACAATGCCTCCAACGTTTGGCCCATATTCGATATGCCTTTCTTTTGTTAGATATTTGACGAATTTCGCGGACAACTTTAACGTCCTGGTCCTGCTGGTATTGTCAAAATCCACATGGACAACACCGTACTTCAAACTTGAATTAAAAAATACAATAGAACAATAAACGTATGCCTTCATAAAAACCTTAAAAGAATCGCTTACTTGTACCCATGTTCCCATTCAAAACCGTCTAAGAGGCTCCAAAAGGTGTAGCTCGTTACCAAGACACCATTACTAATAGCATCGAGTACCGAACTTAAATATTGCTGATGAAAAAGAAAAATTTGCTGCTTCCTTTCATATAATTTCAAAAGTTACGTGAATTACCTACCTGAAAATATGTTATTCGTCCCGTGTCCTTCAGGGTTCCAGAATCAGGATAACCGCTACCGGTAATGTAAATTTCTGGACTATTATATCGATTGTGTATGTACATTAAGATATTATACATACCCCACGGTGCAATCTAAAAAATATTCACCTAACAAAACTGCCCAACAATTATCGTATATATGTAACACGAAAAATTGAAAAAATTTCCTAAAAAATGGTCCTATCTGGATCTTTTTCTTCTCAACAGATGTTACATTCCTATTAACTTTCATGTTGATTGTATTAGTAGTCCACTTCGTAAGGTCAAACCTGAACTCACGCTATACGATCCTATAGGGGTCCTAGGCCACGTGTTGTCGTAAAACTGACTAATATTCATATCGTGCTTGAATGACGGTGTCGATATTGGTATGATAGCTCCTTCGCTGGCCAGTAGGGTCTCGTCGTGAGTTAGACCGAAAAAGTCCGAAGTTCCTTTTATAAAATTAACTTCATCTTCTCTAAATGTAGGCAATCTCGACACGTTGAATCCCTCGAGCGCACTGCGATACGCAATTGTGTTTTTCATCACCGGAGGATAATCTCCATTTTTTGAAAAAATTGGATTGGCAAACCAACCTAGCTGAAAATCAAAAGGTGAATTAGCCCTCATCATCATAAGGTCGTAAGTCCTAAGACTGATTGGCTAATCTTCATATTTCTCTAAAAGTAGAACAGCCCACATCCTATATCCTTAACTATTTGCGAACAATAATCTAATCTTGGTCCACCTCTACCCCTCCTAACTCCCGTTTCTGCCTCTAATATGTCTCTGACTAACCCTTTATGCCTAAGAAGGCGTCCTACTAATCTATCTCGCCTATTTCTTATTGACTTCTATAGAGTCCTCTGTTCTCCTATTCTATCTAATACGTCTTCATTTCTAACCTTCTCTATCCACGGTATCCTCATCATTCGCCTGTAACACCACATTTCGAACGCTTCTAACCTTTTCTTTTCTTTTCTGCCGCGTCCACTGTCCATGTTTCGCACCCGTAGAGCGCCGTGCTCCAAACATACACCTTTAACAACCTTATCCGAATTTCTAAATTAACCATTTGCGAGCATAGAAGTGACTTCTTTTTATTGAAGACGACTCGACCCTGCATTATCCTATGCTTTATATCCCTACTACTCCTTCCGTCCTGACTTATCTGACTTTCTAGATACTTAAAATCAGCCACTTGTTCTAATTTTTCGTCTCCTATCTTTATATTCGCTCTTTCCCTACTTTTTCTTCCCTTGCATACCAGTATTTTTATTTTACTTTTATTTATTTTCATACAGTACTGTTTCGTCAATACTGCTTCCATTTTGTTTAACGTTATCTCTAACTTCTCCTTGATAGATGCTAAATACTGTTATATCATCTGCATACTAATATTTTGCCCCTGTGTATCTATCCCTACAGTTGTACTGTCTTTAATTCTAAAGAGTAGCGGGGACAGTGTGCATCCCTGTCCTAACAAGTCCTAACAAATAGATTTTCGTCTCGATTATTTCGCATATTGTACCCACATAATATTGCAAGCCTCTTTCAGCAGCATCCATGTCCGCCGATGTTGAACTATTAGCCTTTATCCAAGGAGCATTGATAGCAATTCCAATTTTTCCTATAAATAACGAAATAAACCATCAAAAGTTTACTGCTAACATTGTAAATGTTACCAGCATGTTTTTCTCTGTATTTAGTGTCGTATATATGCCAAACTTTCGCGTGAGCCTTGAGAACATTGTGACCACACAAATAGTTAGCGATACCACACTGATTGTATCCCGGAGCTTTTTTTGCTTGACCATATCCTTCCTCACAAATCCTGTAAGGATCGTAAAATGTTATCCAAGTTGAAACAAGATCTCCAAACGAATCGAATACTACTCTCGCATAATTTTCGAATTCGTTAATAACCGACGAATTGGTCCATCCACCAACTTCTTGTAAGCTTTGAGGAAGATCCCAATGATATAAAACCACCACTGCTTCAATGCCTAATAGAAGAAAATTTAACAGAATGAAATGTACCTAATTCTCTAAATTCTAATGTAGTTACAAACACTTGCCATTCTTTCTCAACAAATTTAAAAGACGATTATAATATCGGACTCCCGCCTTGTTTATTTTACCGGCTAAACCGTCAGGAAGAATTCTTGGCCACGAAATAGAAAGTTGATAGTAATTGACCCCTAAAGCCTTGACAATTTCAAGATCTTGTTTATATTTGTGGTAAGAATCGGCTGCAATATCGCCATTACTTTTATTCTCTATTTTTTCCGAAGCATTATGAGTGAAAAAATCCCATATACTTGGCGCTTTCCCTAAAAGAAAAACATTAAATTATCATTTCTTTAATTAAAACCGATAATAATCAATTACCATGATCGTTTGATCCACCTTCAATTTGATAAGCAGACGATCCCAATCCAAACTTGAAGGTATCCGGAAAGAAGTTTCTATTCAACTCATCTTGTCCAAACGCATTCCTGAGGAAGGAATAATTAATTTATAAAATAACAGTGAATTTTGTTTCCATACCATATTTGAAGCAGAAAAATAAGCAAAACATTGTAATTAGGAAACATTGTGTGAACTATAAAATAATGAGCTGAGAGGCCTTTTTATAAATTTTTGTGAACCGTAGTCTAATCGGAAAAATTCTTCATTCGTTGTGTTAACGCTGTTAGCAATTATTGTAAAACAATAGATGTTTTTTATCGACCGGTTTTGGATTCCAATTTCCTAAAACATCGCGTCTAACTATCGTAAGATTACATTTTTACATTTTGTGAGTGACCAAGAAATTTTTTTAGCACAAAACAAGGCCGGCAAATACACAATAACCTTTTAAATGTTGATATCGTTGTAGGAAATTGCTTTCTTGAAATTTTTGACTTGGTTTCACGTACAAAAAAATATAGTAAACTAAGGTCAACTCTTTAATTTCAATTGTTCAATACATTTTATTAATGAATCATTAATTTATTGATATTTTTTTAAGCAATAATTATTATTACCTAAGGAAAAAAACTTTTGGCTTTTTAATGCTCCATTATTATTATTAAAACTTTTATTCTTACTTCTTTATCAAAGGTATTTTGGAGTACTATAAAAGGCAAGAATTATTCAACGAATTTAATATAAGCGGATTTTGTAACAATAAAAAACAATGGTTATTGCTAATTAGAATTATATTAGGGATTATGATTAAGATTAATAAATATTATGTAGTAGAAAAAATACGCGTGTCTTTTATAGTGTTGCTCTTAATTTAACAGAATACTTGGAAATGTTATCAAATGTATACCTACTTATGTATTTATGATTGTAGAAATTCTATACCTCTCAAAGTATAGCAAGTAAAATTTATGTGTACGTTAAATAAAACTGTATGTAACGCAAAAATTACAATTTTCGATTGTAATTGACTTAATTTTCCGTAGAAATAGTAGTAATTATTAAGCAGCTTGTAATAGTCTCAATTTTGACATGTTTCTTTAAAAATTATTTCAAGTTTCTTAATTATTGCAATTAAATTTGTAATATCTATATCTGTAGATACCTAGTAAATTTATTTCTGTTGGGATTTAATTTTTACAAATTCGAGTTCAAATAGTAATTTTTATTATTTTCATTTCAATATTTAGGAAAATTTTCGTTTTTCATTTTCTCCGTGTAATAATTTAAAAATAAAAACAAACATTTTCAAAGAAAAACGTACTACTTCATTCATATTACGCATATAAAAGCATAATTATAAATCGTCTAATATAAAAAAGATATTAATAAATTAACTAAATCATGTTACTCATCATATCAAGTAAATAAAACATAAAAACCTTTTAAATTACATATGAAAATTACATAAAAAAGTTTCCCCAAAATTAAAAAGATAACCATATGCACGGTGTCCTTTGTAGATGATAACCACTATCGTAATTAACTTAACACTTGAAGTGTTACTTTATCGTGCAAGTATACACTTTCAAATCATTCGCTTTATCGAAATTACTAATTGTAAGTAAGTTATCTTTATCTCTAGCGTCCGTGATGAGATTGAAAAACAAAAATAGTGCTATGATTTCCAAACTTTTACCTTTTCTATTTTCACTATGTTTATCTAATATACAAATGTTAAATTTAATTAGGTGATAATTTTACCAGAAGTTAGACAAAACACGAATTTAAAATGCTATGAATAAAAAAGAACAGTATTCATACTAATTAATAAAAGAAAATTATAAAAAATTTTGGTGAAGGCTGGGACAATTTAAAACTAAGGCTACATATGAGCTATATTTTCCTTGTTAGTTTGTAATATAACATACAGACAACCCAACATGTGGCAAATATTACAATAATGATAATGTGACTATAGAGAAAAACTCTATACTACCTTCGATAACTATAAAAATTTGCGTCTGGAATATACAATAACAATGTAATTGCATTGCTTGATTTGATAAGATAATTTCGTTATAAAAATGGAAAATTAAAATATAAAAGGCAGATTTCCTTTGAGTAGGTACCTAAAGCTTGTTCGCCAGATGAAATGATTGGAAGTCAGTTCTTATTGTTATTTGTGCAGTTAGTGGAGTTACTATGGTAAAAAAAAATCTAAAAAAATAGATGGAAGGTTACAATGTTTTCCCTTTGATTTTCATATTTATAGGTGGTCTACCGCAATACAACTAAACCCTTCCCGCTTTCCCCGCGACTTTCTCTTTGGGACTGCAACTTCCGCTTATCAAGTTGAAGGGGCATGGAACGTTAGTGGTAAATAAATAGTTGAAATACTTAAGAAACTTTTAATGGTGGTTAATATTTAATATAAATGTGAAAATTCTTTTAATTTTTATGCATTATAAATTACCTCAAATTAATGAGGAAAATTTGTTGCTACTGTCACTCTCTCACTCTCGCCTTCGTTAAAAATTAAATGAATTTTCACATAATTATTAAATAAAAGTTATTAGGACTAGCAATTCTAGCTAGAAAATTGTCTAATTTTTCCTCTCGTGTTAGAACTGCTTACATTTTTTTATCTTATCTCTTTATTTAACATAATATTTGTTAAATTTTCTAAAGCAATAGTACATAAAGCATAAACATAAAATAACAGCAGAGTATGTTAATATATTTTTTTTTATTAGAACTTTTTCTCATTAATTCCAAATCTAACGATATATAAAAATCGCAATTTCAATTAATACATACGTAGGTAACTTCACTGTCTAATGTTTTCGGTCTAACAAAGCTGTAGGGTTTCTTTTTGAAATTAACGACTATTCTAGTTATTGTCGTAGTTAATGTGAGAACGCAACACATCATTTTAAAAGAATAAATACAATATTTAACTTTCTCAAATGCTTTGAATTGATGAAGAGGGATAAAAACAGATATCACACTCTTGAGTTCGGTTAAAAATATTTAATCTTGATTGACGAAAAGTTCCACTACACCAAGCTTATATCGAAATCAAGATCTAAAATATTAAACAAACGAAAATGTAAAGTATTTTTGTTGGTTCATTTATGAATGCTGACGCTGAATAAAATTAATAGCCAACAGTATAAAAAAATTTACTTATGAATAAAATGTCATGTTGTGTACTCAATATTTTGTAATTAATACTGGATCAACCCTGTTTGCCACGTTAAAATATCAAATAATTTTTAGACGTATAAATTTTATCGGCATTAACGGAAATTTAAGTCATATAAGAAATTATATAATTTCTACTAACTACTTCACAAGTCTAGAAAACAAAAGGGTTCTCTAATTATTTATCACTTACTACTGTAAATAATGTAATAAAGTTAATTACCGACTAGAACATTATATCTATACAAGCCTTTTTTATCTATTTATTATAATATGAATTACGCACTACCAAAAATATTTTTTTTTATTTCATCCAATGTTGTTTTGATTTTAAGGAAAAGGGGAAAGTATCTGGGACCATCTGACTCACAATTATCCATCGTTAATAAGGGATCAAAGCAACGGTGACGTAGCTTGTAATTCGTATTATAAAATGGAGGAAGATTTAAAGATACTTAAGGACCTGGGTGTAGACTTTTATAGATTTTCCATTTCTTGGACACGTCTCCTTCCTACAGGATATTCCACTTATATTAATAAAGATGGATTCCAATATTATAATAAACTATTAGATTTACTTAAGAAAAACGGTTAGTGAATTAGTCTTTATCTTTGGTTTGTTCGAGAAATTGAGATCTGTGAAACTGTGTAACTCAAAATTCTACATAAAACAATTACAAACCTAAAACGCTTTAGAATAGGGTAGCATCATCGGATTGGAAGCGCGTTCTATGCTTTTTAACTAATGTGGAATTTAATTTTATGTTACTGTTGAATTTATCTTCACATACCTACGATATTCGTTATCAAAAACACAAGAATCTATTTTCCAATGACTTAAAAATTGTTTCAATGCATAGGTACAATTTGTTTTCTTACCTATTGGCTTAATGTCGAAATTATGGGAAAAACCAGATAATAATCTACCTTTCCGTACAATCATAAAGAATAAAACGTTCAAATTAATTTATCTAAGAAGTTGTAAAACGAACTTCACGTCCATTAACGAAACAGTTTTATCTGATAAGATTTGAACCCTGAATTATCCATTTTTACTGGTGTCATATACGTGGATTGTGCGAAGAAAAACTAATTTTCTTACATATTTACTAATTTAAGATATAAAAGCGATGGTAACCATATACCATTGGGATCTTCCACAATCCTTGCAAGAATACGGAGGCTGGACGAATTCGTCCATTATAGATGTTTATGTCGAGTATGCAAGGGTAGTTTTCGAATTATTCGGTGATAGGGTTCACACTTGGATAACATTCAACGAACCATTTCAAATTTGCGTGGAAGGATATGGTGTGGCCGCTAAAGCACCAGCTTGGAACGATTCTGGTATTAGCGACTACATTTGTGGTTACAATCTACTCAGGGCTCACGCCAAAGCCTTCCACCTTTACAACAACACCTATAGAAGGGTACAAAAGGGTACGAAGAATGCGAACATCTCTTGGGATATTATCTATTTTTGTATGTCCTTTTAGCAAAAATTGGAATAACTGTTCAAGCACCGTGGGCAGAACCAGCCACCTCCAGCGAAGGCGATGTCCAAGCTGCTAATCGGCTGATGCAATTTTATGTAAATTAATAATTTAATTTCGCCAAAAACCCTCAACAGCTTTTTGAACATTTGTATTGTATTTTTAATTTGACAAATGTTTCAGTTCGGATGGTTTACGCATCCAATTTACAAAGGCGATTATCCCGAAACAATGAAAAGTCACATTGCCTTCCGAAGTGCTTTAGAAGGATACAATTCCTCGCGTTTACCACAATTTACCTCCGAAGAAATCGAATATATCAAAGGCACTTCTGATTTTTTCGGTCTCAATCACTATACGAGCATTATGGCTGCGGAATTGCCCTCCGATATGCCCGTGGTACCTGGAACATCCATCGCTAACGACATAAATTTGACCTATTACTACGATGAATCTTGGCCATCTGACACGAATTGGCTTAAGGTATTTAAACATTTGGAATTCGAAAAATTAATATTCGTACAAAAAAAAAATCGTAATAAAAACTCGAAAACAAAGACAATGTAACTGGTAGTATATTGGCATATATAGATATTTACTTATAAATATAGCGTTTCATATCTTTAATTGAATGTACGTGTATGTATAAGGGCATTACTTATTATTAATTATCAAGCACCTTGGAACTAATAAATTTGAAACCGCGATCTACATTTAGTGTCTGTTGACCAAAAAGAGGTCATAGTTTACAACATAACAAATGTTTATTAGAAATCCATAGTATTTATAAGGAAACTTTGTATTTCTTTTTCGTATTTTTTGAAAATAGAATTACAAGAAGTGATTTAATTCTTAATAAACATAAATAATCATTAATTAAGGTGGTACCATGGGGCTTGGAAAAGTTATTGCTTTTTATCAAAGAAGAATACGACAATCCGGATATTTATATCACAGAAAACGGCTATGCAGACCAAGGGACATTAAATGATAACACCAGGTTAACCTACTATAGGGTAAATGTTATTATTTTTCGGTATTTATTTCTAATTATGCTAATTAATAATGTAAACACCCAGGACTATTTAAATGCCACGCTGAATGCCATGGCACAAGGCGCTTCTGTTAAAGTCTACACCGCCTGGACTCTCATGGATAATTTTGAATGGATGGCAGGATACACGTATGCCCACCTAATTAATTTTATACAATGATTTTTTAAAGCTCATTTTGAATTGTAATGGGATCTAACATTTACTTTCTTGTAGTGAAAAGTTTGGCATTGTTCACGTCGATTATGAAAGTGAAAATCGTACAAGAACATACAAAAGGTCTGCATACTTCATGAAACACGTATTCAAAAAAAGGAGAATTACAGGATTCCGAAACAGAAGTGGCAAGCTCAAAACTGGAGTAAGTTGTTTAATTGTAACGCTATTGGTCTCTCTGTGGATCTAATAGTGTGGTACTATAAAGAAATAAACTCATTAATTTCCCTGTATTTTGTCACTAATACTCCTGTCCTGTTTTAGGATGGTCCGGAAGCCTTTTCCGTTTCCGAATGAAAATCTGCTTGTTCTTAACACATAAGTAGGAATCATCTCCCGTTACTACAAAAATTGCAATGTCTCCTGAAGCTCAGTTGCAAGAAAAAGAAATTAACTTATAGCTACTAGAAATACGAATTTTATTTACAGTTAAATTCAGATGAAAAACATTAACTTCAATAAAATTAATAAAAGATTTACTTATGATAAAACAAAATAAAATTTACCCTATATGAAAAGCTAACTTACCTCATGTAAATACATCGAATCTCATTTTCAAATATTACCTGCTACTAAAACTAAATCAATCTCTTACCATAGTTGAAGCAACTTTATTAGAAATAAAAGAACAATCTGAAACATATTATGACAAAAATACTAAAGCTTGATTCCCACTATAGGTCCGGTCTCGATGCGTTATCGATCCGATAAAATATTTTTACAGGAGAAACAATGAATCTATTCACACTGACGTTATCGCACCGGTTTCGATCTTATTACACTTCGATACTGATACATTTCAAAAAATCCCTCATCCCTCTTTTCTTTTTTCTTTGTTTTCGAACTTTTTTTCATGATCTTATTACACACCTCAATGACGAAAAAACTGAAGCACTATCAAAGCTGTAATGTGAATATGAGGAGATTTATGTCGGATGGAGAGCGAACTAAGAGCAGCTCCGTAGTGTGAATCGACTTTAATAGACATAACGCATAAAAATTACTTTTTTTTTAGATAAGCAATTCAAGAAAATATGATTGATTAAATCGAAGAATATTATATAATTTAATGTGACAAATAAGTAATATATCCCGAAATTAATAAGATAAATTAAAAATACGCTATTCTTTGAAGATCCCAAATTATAGACTTAATACATAATGATAACCAGCATTATCAAAATTAGTTTAACACTTGAACGGTTTCTTTATCATGCAAGCACGTTTCTAAATCATTCGTTTCTTTGAAAATATTAAGTAAATTATCTCTTGCGTACGTGTTGAAGTTCAAAAATATACAAAAAAACAGAATGGTAATTGAAAAAATAGTAGGTTAATAGCATAAAGTAAGAATTGAAACATCAAAGCTATTTAACATTCATGTCTTTATACAGGTACCATATGATATGTACAGACACAGCAACGATGGGTTCATAAAACTCTTCACATTCATCAGTTTCAGACAAAACACGCAACAAAATTTAGCAAACGATTAGAGTTTTATTAATTAAAATTTACTTTTGGAATATACAATGGCAATAAAGTTACATTGCTAAGTTTGATAAGATAATTGCGTTATATAAATCGAAAACTGCAGTATAAAAGCAACATTTCCTTGGGAGTAAAGCCTGTTCGGTAGCTGAAATGTTTGGAAGTCTGTACCTGTTGTTATTTGTGCTGTTGGTGGAGTTATTATGGTAAAAAAATTAAAAAAAAAATAGATGGAAGGACACAACGTTTTCATATTTATAGGTGGTCTATCGCAATACAACTAAACCCTTCGCGCTTTCCCCGCGACTTTCTCTTTGGGACTGCTACTTCCGCTTATCAAATTGAAGGGGCATGGAACGTCAGTGGTAAATAATTAGTTATTAATACTATCAATTCTAAACAGGAAATTGTCTAATTTTAGTTTTTCCTCTACTGTTACGTTTCTTTTTATCTTATCTCTTTCTTCAGCGCAATACTACTTTCTTAAAACAAATAAACTTTTTTTTACGTTAGGTTTTTCGGTCATTAACACCAAATCTAAATAAAAATCATCACATAATGAATAATTCTTTTTCCTTTAATAAAACTTTGTATGTATATACATTTTTATTTTGAAATTAACGAATACTTAGCTATTATTTATTGTTATATGCGTGACAACGACTCACATCATTTTAATAGAATAAATGCAATTGATAAAGGGGGAACAAAGAAAGGAGCAGATAAAAATAGACGTAATCACACGCATTAGCTTAGTCAGAAATAGTTAATCTTGATTGACGAAAAGTCGCATTTCTACGAAGACTTGGTCGAAAATATGAAACAAACGAAGATGTAAACATTTTTCGTTTATTTGCCAATGCCGACATTGGGCTAAATTGATAGCCAACAGTATAAAATTATTTATTTAAGAAAAAAACGTTAAGGTCATGTTATGTTCTCAGTGTTTTGCAATTAATATTGGATAAAAAACCTGTTCCCGACGTTATAATGTCAATTTATTTTTAACCATGCAGGTAAATTTTATCGAAAGTGAAAATTATTTTTTATTTTTTTGTTCGTAAGATGCTATAATTTATTGTTAAACCTTTTTATGACTTCAATGTTTCATATAACAACTCAGAAAATCTCTTTTAACAAGTCGTGTTCAGAGCGGTTCCCTAATCAATTGCCCCCTTACAAATAAACTAATAAAATTAATTGCTGGCTACCAATTAAGTAATAAAATATATCAATATAAACATTTCTTATCGGTTTTTATTATGAATTACGCACTGCCTACAAAATAACATTTTTCTTATTTCATTCGTTGTTTTATCGATTTCAAGGCAAAGGAGAAAGTATCTGGGACCATCTGACTCACAATTATCCATCTATGATAATAGACCAAAGCAACGGGGACGTTGCCTGCAAGTCGTATTATAAAATGGACGAAGATTTAGAAATCCTTAAGGACTTGGGAGTAGATTTTTACAGATTTTCTATTTCTTGGACACGTCTCCTTCCTACAGGATATTCCACTTATATCAACGAGGATGGATTACAGTATTATAATAGATTATTAAATTTACTTAAGCGAAACAGTATGTGTATTCATTTTTACCTTTTAAGCAATTTTATGTCATTCATTCGAAGAGAAATTAAATTTCCTATTTACTAATTTAAGATATAAAAGCGATGGTAACCATATACCATTGGGATCTTCCACAAGTGTTACAAGAACACGGAGGCTGGACGAATTCGTCCATTATAGACGTTTACGTCGACTATGCAAGGGTACTTTTCGAATTATTCGGTGATAGGGTTCACACTTGGATAACATTCAACGAACCATATCAAATTTGCAGAGAGGGATATGGTTCGGACAGGAAAGCACCAGCTTTGAACAATTCCGGTATTAGCGACTACATTTGTGGTTACAATCTACTCAGGGCTCACGCTAAAGCCTTCCACCTTTACAACAACACCTATAGAAGGGTACAAAAGGGTACGGAGAATGCGAACATCTTTTGGGATATTATCTATTTTTGTGTGTCCTTTTAGCAAAAATTGGAATAACTGTTCAAGCACCGTGGGCAGAACCAGCAACGTCCAGGGAAGGCGATGTCCAAGCTGCTAATCGGCTGATGCAATTTTATGTAAATTAATAATTTAATTTCACCAAAAACATTCAATAACTTTTTGCACATTTGTGTTGTATTTTTAATTTGACAAATGTTTCAGTTCGGATGGTTTACGCATCCAATTTACGAAGTGCTTTAGAAGGATACAATTCCTCGCGTTTACCACAATTTACCTCCAAAGAAATCGAATATATCAAGGGCACTTCTGACTTTTTCGGTCTTAATCACTATACGAGTGTTATGGGTGCCGAGTTGCCCTTCGTGATACCCGCGGCACTTGGAACATCTTTCGCGTACGACCTGAATTTGACCTATTTTTACAACACATCTTGGCCATCTGACACGGATTGGCTGAAGGTATTTAAACATTTAGATATTTATTTCAAAAAAAAATCGCGATCTACTTTGGTGTCTGTTGTCCAAAAAGAGTTCATAATAATTACAAGCAAACTTTGTATTTTTTTTTTTTTCGTATTTTTTGAAAATGGAATTATAAGAAGTGATTTAATTCTTAATAAACATAAATAATCATTAATTAAGGTGGTACCATGGGGCTTGGAAAAGTTATTGCTCTTTATCAAAGAAGAGTACGACAATCCGGACATCTATATCACAGAAAACGGTTATGCAGATCGAGAGACTCTAAATGATTACGCCAGGTTGACATACCATCGGGTAAATGTTATTATTTTTCGGTATTTATTTCCAATTATGCTAATTAATAATGTAAACACCCAGGACTATTTAAATGCCACGCTGAATGCCATGGCACAAGGCGCTTCTGTTAAAGTCTACACCGCCTGGACTCTCATGGATAATTTTGAATGGATGGCAGGATACACGTATGGCCAACTAATCGATAATATATTCATTTTTTAAAGCTCACCTTGTATTTATTTCGTTGTAGTGAAAGGTTTGGTCTTGTCCATATCGATTATGAAAGTGAAAATCGTACGAGAACATACAAAAGGTCTGCATACTTCATGAAACACGTATTCAAGAGAAGGAGAATTACAGGATTCGGAAGCCGAAGTGGCAAACTTAAGACTGGAGTAAGTTGTTTAATTGTAACGCTATTGTTCTCTTTGTGGATCTAATAGTACGGTACTATAAGGAAATAAAACCTCATACATTTCATTGTATTTTGTCACTAATGCTCCTAATAGTTGTCCTGTTTTAGGATGGCCTGTTTTTCACGGATGTTTTTTTCGATTCTGTATAAAAATTTGCTTGTTTTCAACGTAATTAACGAGAAGCCTCTCTCTCCAGTTACTAGTTTGATTAAATGTTTTTTAGAACGACCTTTAGAAATTTTGTTAATAAAACCAGAGGCTTATTAACAGATAATAATAACAATAGTAAAGCATTTTATTAACAAATAAATAAATAACAATAATAAAAAGAAACAACAGATTATATACAATTTTTATAACGTCTTATCACCTCATAAGTATCTGTTTATACAAGCGACAGATTATTTATTACACCTTTTATCGTAAGTATTAGAAAGATGAAATAGGAAAGTACCTAATAAGTTTTAGGAACTAAATATTCTAACTCTTGTATTACGATAGCCGTATTTAAAGTAAGCCAGGTAAGGACAATAAATCATAAGCCAAATGGACATCGCCTGCAAAAAGTTCAAGATGATCCTGCACCACTCGTATCTGAGATAATAGACGGTCCACTGTATTGAAACAAGTATAAATCCTTTATAGGTTTGTATCTGCTTGGCAAGGAGATTGTTGTTGTTGTTATTTTCCGAAACCAACATATAAAAGTACGTCATAAACCCGTCGACTTGTAATATCGGGTTCATCACCCACAGCCCCGTCAAGAGGGCGCTGGTCATTTTCAAAAAATTGGGATCCTGTTTGGAGACTTCGGGAAGAAACACCTTCTCCAATAAAATATTACATTTCTCGCGGATTTCTTCAAGTGTTCCAGTGCAAAGATTAAATCTAAATAGACAAAAATGCAAAAAATCAATCAATTATTAAAATCAAAGATAAAATTATCGGTAGTAAACTAAATGACAAATTTTGCAGGAGACATTATCCTTCATTGCGGCGAAATTTTAAAATTTCTACCTAACTTTCGAAGAAATAAAAATTTGGCAGGGTAAAAATAAGCAGAAATTGAAATTTTTGGAGCAACTTCGATAAGGAAACATTTACGCACAAAATTCATGAAAAATAATTTCTCGCGCCGAGACTGCGAGACTTGCCGGAATCCGCGCCGGACCGCGAACAGTGTGAACGGGCCTTTAACGGTAGACTCCATTCATATAAAAATAATACCTTTTATGCATCATTTATTAGTTAGAAGCAGATATCAGTAAATGGTGATATACCGCAATAACGAGTCATTAAAGTCTCAATTATTTATTAATATATTTATTTACCTATCTTCCATTCCCATTAAATATCCGACCACTCGCCATACATGCACAAAAGCCTCCAATTCTTCGTCCGTAGCTTTGTGTATGCCTATCATTTCAGATCTGCACAAAGCGAAGCCCATAAAGCCGAACTGAGTGAGAGCCATATCTTTTTGTGAAATTCTTGATAAGCCCGCTTTGCAAACCCTGCCACTTGTAGAATTATGCATACCCCTTACCAGTCGAACTGACTTCCACAATCTAAAAATTACTGTTAATGTTACTCTTGACAATTTTAATTTTAGTCGCCACAATTTTATAAAGAACAGGGTTTATCTTTGTAGCCTACTTATCACAAGTAAATTTACATTCCAACAAAAGACTTGAGCGCAATTCATGGACAGACTATCTACGATACATTTTTTCGGACTAGGTTTGAGAAGAACATTTATAGTCAAAATGCCTGGGAAAAGACGGACCAATACGCGCCTTCTCATGCCGAACCTGTCACACGAACCGTGACTCGCCGGGTTCCGCGCCGGACTACGGGCAGTGTAAACAAACCTTAATGGCAGTCTCCATTTCATATAGAAATAATACCTTTTATACATGATTTTTCACATAGAAGCAGATGTCAGTGATAAGGTAGGTAGATTGGTAGGACAGGCATAAAGGATTAGTTAAAAACAGAAACAGGAGTAAACGAATGGAGGTGCGTGTCCTGGTGTCCTGCCAGTCTTAGGACAAACAACTCTATGATAATGATGACCATGACCATGATGATGATGATAATACATTTTTGTGTCATCAAATAAGAAAATAAAAAATAGCGTAAGGTCGAAACATTTTTAACAAAAAGAAATAACTTTTAAAATATAAGTGACATTGATACAACAAGGTAGAAATCAGGTGTTCGAAAAGATCCATAGTAATTCTATTACCCTCATGTCTACTGTTCAAAGATAAATTTATTTGTAAAAAGTAGTTGATCGTTGAACCATAACGATCAAAGGAATTCTCTTTATAAAATTCTGACAAGTATACCTGAATATATTAAAAATTAAAATAAGTAGTAATTGAATGTTTTTCTTACTCCGAATCCGGTCTAAAATCTTTCCTGTACCAGACGTTCATATGGAGTATGGTGGCTACGTATCTTTTGTAAGCCTTGTATGGTGTATCGGACATGTCGGTGAACATTAATATTTTAAGAATTGTAGGCACACATAATGTCGCTATCAACCCCATTAGTTTGGCGAAAAATAACGAAAACAAATATTTGTTGTAGAACTGCTGGCCCCTTAAACATTTAATAAAGTTTCATCCTTCATTTTATCAATAACAAGGTAAAGTAAAACTACAAGAAAATCAAATGAAATCAAATTAAAAAAACCTAAAATGCTTTTTAGGAGAATATATTACAAATTTATCTATGCTTCATCCTTTTACAACATATCATCGATGAGTCTCAAGGTTTCACAGCAAATTACATAAAAAAAATGCTCGACACTGCAATAAAATACAATAACTTAAATGATAATCAATTTTTATTATTCTTGTCGCTTCTTCGTGAATATGTGGCTCGCATGAATTATTATAAAACCGTAATTTAAACTTTCGTTTTTATTTTTCATACTCGTATGATGAAGCAATGTTTTACATAATTGGTGTACTTACCCACCAATTACATTCACGTAGTTTTTTGTAATTTGTAACGAAATAGTTTGACCAAAGAACTTATTTTGCGTTTAGAAATCATTTTATGAAGCTGTCTACTTATTCGTATGCATACAAAATAATTATACTTATATTTTCGCTTGAAACAATGTTAGTGGACTACAAAATCAAGCTAATTTCTGCTTTCTCCGCTGTTTTCACACAATAATTTGATTTGAATAAAACTTTTTATGTTAAAACAACAGTTGCAACAGGGCGGAAAAACTTTATAAAGTGGAAATGAAATTTTATACAACAGGTACACCTTGCCTTAAAAGTATATAGGTGTACCACACTCTCTCTGCGGTTAATATATCGACTTAATTAGTAATTTATTGTTTAATATTATATGAAAAACGATAAACAATAAAAAGTTAGTTGTTGATTACTCAAGTTTTTTAAAACAAAAATTAAATCTTAGCGCTAGCGGACTTTTAAACTATTTATTTTATTGTAACTGTTCAATTGATATATTTTAATGATATAACTTTGTTTAAAGGTTATTGGTGTGTTTTTAATAAAAATTCAATAAATTTACATTCGGAAATATTAATGTAGTCAATCGCGTGGGTAAAATTTTTTACTTGTTTCACATAAAAATGCTAACAAAGCAACGGTCGGACAAGGAGCATCTTTTACTAAACTAATAAGCCACTGCACGTTTTGTCCTTGAAAAGTTCCTCAGGACTTGTGAATTATTTAAATAAATAACGATTAGAACGAAGTTTAAATAGCAAATTACCAAGTCGATGCACAAGAACAATATACAGAGTGAAAACATAATCATAAACATCTAAACAAAATTTCTAGAACAAAAGGTTGCTAAGGTAATAATCAAATATTAACAAAAAAAAATATTTTTAGCAACGCTAAACTGTAATATTCTATTTAGCTTACTGATAACTCTGTAGTAATTTTACATTAATTGATTAATTAACACGAAATCTCTAAGTATTTGCCATTTAAAAGGATAGGACAGAGTGAAAACATTATCATGAACATCAAAACAAAATTTCTAGAACAAAAGGATGCTAAGGTAATAATCAAATATTAACAAAAAAGAATATTTTTAGCAACGCTAAAGTGTAATATTCTATTTAATTAATTGATAACTGAATAGCAATTTTAAACTGATTAATTAATCAACACGAAAACTCGAAGTATTTCCCATTTGGAAGGATATTTTAGAAATAGATAAATACATAAAAGTTACAAAAAAAAATGTAGTGATAATAAATACCTAACTATCAAACTTACGTACTGATTAGAAAATAAGTTATAAATACCTTTTAAACTTTTCTTCGTTGTAGAACGGCGGTATGTATGTGGCATTTTTGAAATTATTGTTCGTTTCATCGCAAGATATTTTGGAACCTTCTGTGAGCAGCAATTGAATTTTATCCTGCGCGTTCATGCTTTCGTCTAAAATATTTGGATAGCTGCACCTATCAACCGATGCAACGAACGCGCTACTGATGCATTACGTTTTGCATTTAATCAATGCACCCACTATCAGTTTACATAAGTATCTCATTTAGGTACATGCACAACTGCTAATTATTATCTGAATGTCGAAACTCAACAGCGGTAGAGTCAGGTTGGAAATGTACGATGTAACACCTAATATACATTTCGTTGTTCATCACCATCGTGAAAGTTTCACCGCGTGTCCTACTTTAACATTTTGTCGAGGATCAAGCTGAAATAGCACAATATTATTGTCTTTAAAAAAGGTATATCGCTGATTACTGATCACTGGACTATGAAAAAGACGAGTCATCTAATGTCGCCAATGTTCCTTGTGTGCCATCAACCGTAATTGTACCCATTTTCACTTAAAAATTGGCAAAACAAAGATAAAAACATTCTAAAACTACCTAATTTACAATTTATGATGGAAACACAAAGGAAAAACTCTCGGATTGGTTCATCGCTGCATAAATTTTTAAATAAATACATAAATAAA